AAATGTTCCCCACTCCTGAAGTAAGGCAAAACCTGCAATAAAGTAGCCTAAGAGGGCAAGCTTGTTTGCATGAATCTCATATGTTTGCTTGTCTGAATGAACCTACTTATGATAGAAGCAGCATAACTCTCCTGTCTGAGTATAGGAGGAAGCAGTGATTAGTTAGCTAGTTCTCCCCTCTCCTGAGCACCTGTTGCACTTGCAGTCCTAATAATTCAGGCACAGTCTGTGGCTCCACTAAGTGCAAATCTACAGATAGCTCACACGTTGGACACAGTAGATCAATTTAAATTACAAAGGTTTAAATTCTTGATTTGAATCATTATTTAAATAACCAAAAAATCGAAGGAGCCGATTTAAATCGTTGATCTGAAATAGCTTTCCAACATTCTAATTCGTGTTACAGATAGGTAGCCGTGTTGGTCTGCCATAGTCAAAACAAAAAAAATTCCTTCCAGTAGCACCTTAAAGACCAACTAAGTTAGTTCTTGGTATGAGCTTTCGTGTGCATGCACACTTCTAAGCTCATACCAAGAACTAACTTAGTTGGTCTTTAAGGTGCTACTGGAAGGAATTTTTTTTTGTTTTTATTCTAATTCGTGTATTTCCAGAACACCAAGATTTCTATAACAACTAGAACACATCTGTTTTAGTAAACAGAATTTTTAGACAACCCAGTAGGAGCATAATCTAAAACTTTCGGCTGGATATTAGGCTCATATTAGTCTGAAAGGGCTGGCCCAGAAACCAGCATATTTTACCAAAATACTTGACCTCAAAAGTTACTTGTATTTGCCTCTGGTTCATTCCTGTACATAGACAAAAAAAAGAGCTCTAGCTCAATATGTTTGGCAGAGGGTCTGCATTTATTACATTCAGATATAAATTGAAAGCAGGGACAATTAATATAACTGATTTTTAAAACAAAACAAAAAATGCGGAACTCTTTTATTTTTATTTACTTGAAATAGTATACTCCAACAAACCCTGCAGTTTTACATGTGGGCAGATAATCGCCTCAAAATACATCCCAAAATACCGTCCCCTTTGAGAAGTCTTTTTTTACACCCATTGGCAAAAAAGTGTAAAAATATTCACAAGTGAACAGGTGTTGGGGAAGAGGGGAGCATGTCCCTAATTTGCAAACAGGTTGATAGTCCCTCATCCTGATTCAGCTGCATGTAGGTTATTAGCTGGGTCAGGATTTGGATAGGACTTGCATTTGGATGCTAGTCTGAATGATTTTTCAATGGAAAGTAATGCATCTAGCTGTGTATCCAAGCACGTCATCCATCCACAATGTATTAGCTTCAAGAAGTTTCCCATTTGGATGGCTCTGAAATGCACATTGACTGTTAGCTAACATCCACTTCAAATCTATTAAGAATGAAGTTCCAGTTTGCTTAGCACCTTGAATATAACTTGCAATGGCTTATGTTTTAGGATCATACCTTGATCATTGTATGCCTAGAAAAATACTATTTGGATAAATTTAGTAATTTTTGTACATACATGACAAACATTTGAGCAATATACTGTAAGTATGAAAGTTAGAAAGGAAATCAGCCCTGAGTGCTCACTGGAAGGACAGATCCTGAAGCTGAGGCTCCAATACTTGGGCCACCTCCATGGAAAAGACCCTGATGTTGGGAAACATTGAGGGCACAAGGAGAAGGGGATGACGAGGACGAGATGGTTGGACTGTGTTCTCGAAGCTACCAGCATGAGTTTGAGCAAACTGCGGGAGGCAGTGGAAGACAGGAATGCCTGGCGTGCTCTGGTCCATGAAGAGTCGGACATGACTAAATGACTAATGACTAAACAACAACAACATGAAAGTTAGTGTGATGGCCTGGGATTTGGACTTGGATGCTGAACCTGAGGGATCCCAGCCTGCACAGGATTCCTCGCCTCCAGAACCAGCTGAGCTGGGGCTGGGGCATGAGCCTGAAGGGTCCTCACCTGTGCTGGATCCTCAGGTGCAGGCATCAACTGAGTCTGCTCTGGCTCCTGAGGTGATGGAGGAACCATTGCCGTCAGGTGCTCCACTCTCAGCCCTGTCAGAGGAAGCTAAGGTTGCCTCTGGGTCTGGTAACCCTCCAGCCTCTCCTGAGCTGCAGATGCTCAGGGCAGAGAGGTGGAGGGAACTAAGTTCCCACAGGAGGAGTGCTCACCTCCAGGCCAGGAGAGGTGAGTCACCAGAGGATCGGGGTCACCCTATGCCTCGGGGCAGATAAAAGCCGGCCAGCCCCAGTCTCAAATTGCGAGAGCAACATTGTTGGTTGCTAGTTCCTGCCTGAACCCTGCCCTGCTTTCCTGCCTTAGCTCCTGACCCACCTTGGCTCCCTGCTTGCAAGCCTGTTCCTGATTTCACCCAGCTCCCTGCCCTGCACCCAGCTTCAGCTACTACAGACTGCCTCCTCGTTGCACCTTTGACCACTGTCCGGACTTGAACCTTGCCTCTTGGGTAACCCACGGGACCAGCACAGTTAGAATCATTTCCAGAGGTGTTAATGTTTGGCCCGCCATTGAATTAAGAAGTTTAAGCAATAATGGAGACTAGTATTTTAATAGTTTATTTTACATGTTGCAGATTTGCCTGCTTTAAAAATATGTGTTTATTCCTTTTGATCCATGGAGTTAGGGTTATTTGAATTAGAAACTTGGAAACCTATTTCAAATCAGTGATTTAAATATAAAAAAATGATCCCTCAAGACTTTCTGAGCATTTGTCAGTAATGCTCAACGGGTGCAATTTGGTTTTCGGAACAGCTTCTTGCTTGTCCAGTGCTATAGAGAATGTAAAATGAGAGTCTGCACATGTACAGAGTGTGCTCTGAGTTTGTCTTCGTTTTTCTTTGTCCAGTGTCTGGACAATAAACAGACAGTTCAGACAGCGCTAAGCAAGCACCACCAAAGGATGATTTTTAAGGCTCCCAGGAACGGTGAGCAAAGGGAAGATGATTAATTTGTGAGGGCACATTAATTATGCACTCTTTCCCCTTGCCCCACGTAACCCAAATAATATCGAGCATCACTTGCTGATAATGAGTAACAGTATGCAGCTACCTCTTTCTGATATTCTGAAGAAAAATAACTTAATGTTATTCCATATATACTGGCATTTTAGTGAGGAGAATGGATGCAAAATGTAATAATACTGTACCAAATTGTTCAGTACAGTTTGTACAGATTATGCCTTGGGATTCATGCATTAGCATATAACCTCTGCTCTGCCACATTGTGTGTATAAATAAAGTGAAGCATTTTCTTGTATTTATCCATCTGCAGGACTGGTACAGCTGCAGGTTGAGTCCTATTCAGTCATCATTAGTGAGCATTAGCAAATGCTTTCAGTATTTAGTTTTTGGTAGATTTGTCAGATAGAAACAAACGAGACAAAAGTGCTGTTAAGAATGAATAGGATGGATGTTGAATTGCAGACTATCTTACTTTGCAAATAACATGGCTAGCACTCTTTTTTTGCTAGCTTACTGATACAATGCCATTTTTATTCTAAATTAATCGACTCATGGTATCTCATGTTAATAATGAAATCTAAATGCATTATTTTACAAGTATATTTTAATAAGTCTAAAAGTGTGAACACTGCAACATCAGGCACAAAGTGTTTTTGTGAGTCTTGCGACACCCACCATTCACTTCTGTTGCTTCACAGAAACTAATGGGATAAGCATCCCTGATTTCTATATATCACAATTAATGCAAGTGGTAAAGTTGCCTTCTGGAGTATAGTGTTGCAAGTGTGCTAGGAATCTATTTTTGGCAAGAAAACTCCCACTTTGCCCTCTCTCCCTTAAACTGACCTGCTGGATGAAATAGTAGATGTGTGTATGATTCTAGGCATACCTTCCCCTAAGATCAACATTTGTACACACTTTAGTCACCTTTTATACGTAGTGCTATTGACATTAACCAGAGAGGCCAGCCTGACAGCACTGTACTTTAACACCAGCTAAAGAGTTGTTCTGCTCTACTTGCACAGTTTATCTAAAGAGATTTGGGGGGGGGGATGGTTTTTGCTGTGTGTTTTTTTTTAAATCACAAGCCTAATTGTTTGCCATCAAAGAGAATTCTCTTCTAGGCAAACTATCCTGTAAGGTAGCAGGATTATCTTGAAGGTCAAAATTGACACAACTATGAAAGCAGGGTATAATGACTAATCCTTCTGCTATCAAAGTGGGTCTCCCATGTTGAGCTGCACTGAAAGGGAAAATGAACGGCAGGACGCTGGAAGGTCCTTTATACTGGAGACTGGTACCACAGAAGTGTGCAGGAATATTGTCATTTTTAAGTATGCCCCATTAGTCTCCTATTAACCTAATGGAATTGAGAGATGTGTGCATGGTATGCTGTCAGCTGGGGCTGGCACTGCCTGTTTGCTGGCCTTCAACTTGGGGCACGGAGTGAGCAGGAGGGAACGAAACTTGGAGAATATGGCTGTTAGCTTCTTATTCTCAGAGGCTGCTTAGCCTCAGCCAACAAAAACCACTGGAGCTCCTGGACAGAGCCCCCCCCCCCAATCTGTACCTCTTGGTCTGCGCTCCAGTGATATGACTGTTGCCTCATCCCTCTTACCTACAGACTCCATGGATCCCCTAGGCAAGAGGAAAGTGTGCTGCATGGCAGTTAAAGTGGTAGACTAGGTACTTGGAGACCAAGGTTCAAATCCAGCCATGAAGCTCACTGGGTAATCTTGGACCCACTTGCTGTCTCTCAGCCAAAGCTACCTCACAGGGCTGTTGTGAGGGTAAAAAGGTTAGAGCAATTCCTTGTTCCTTGGAGAAAAGGTGGAATATAACTGAAATAATAAATAAAAAAGTAAAATTGTAAGTAGTGTGGTAGCCATAAAATTTTCTGAATTACCTTATTATGTAAAAGCCTGCATATTTGACAAGAGAAGGGGAATCCAAGCTTAGAGTTAACTGTTTATTTACACATTACCATTGTGACCACTTTATTCATATGCCTTTTTTTAGTTAGAAGAACTAAGGAATGCCCTGGATAAGACCAGACAAGAACTGGATGCTACCAAAGCACGGCTTGCCTCAACGCAACAGTCTCTGGGTGAGAAAGAAGCACATCTAGCCAATTTAAGAATAGAACGGAGAAAACAGTTAGAAGAGATACTGGAAATGAAGTAAGTACACATATATTTTGATTTTAATAGGATTCAAGGGAACATGGTTTTATTTTCCCTTTCTGCTCTATGGATATACTTTGTTTCGTGTGCATCCTTAAAAAAAAATGAGAACAAGGGGTGCTTTGGGTTGTGTGATTTCACTGCATTGGGATGTGTAATAATAAGTGCTGAATCATTCGGCTCAGAATTTTTCACAACTTTGAGGGCTGGGGCAAAACATCCTGGTCACCACTTGAAGATTGGGTTAATCTTTTGCTGTGGGTAACTTTGAAGAACTTAAACTGGAGGCTGTGTTAAGGACATGGTGGCTGAGGCTCCTTCCCCCCCCCCCAAAAAAAAATGTTTTCCTCGGCTTTAAGCAGTGAGGCAGCTGCCCTCGTCAGCCTGGCAATGTTCCCTTTGTCATTTGTGGCAGAATACCCCACCTATGACAGCTTTCCCCCACCTTCATATGGACACAGAGGACAGGCAAGAAGAGAAGAGGCCTTCAAATTTGTGCTAACGGTAGCATCCTTCCTTTGAATTACAAAGGAATTCAAAACGGATGTCAAATCTCATCTAGGGCAGGCAGCTAAGTGTGTGTGTGTGTGTGTGTGTGTGTGTAAATATAACTCAAAGCCTCAGCCACCTCATCTTTAAGATAGGCCCAACCCAAGCAAGAGTTCTTCACTTTTGCCCATGTTTCCTGCCCCTCTGCTACTTAGTCCTATTCACCACAGCCTTAGCTATAATGATAAATATTAATCATAGCTACAAGCTTTAAAAACACAGTACCCCCGGGTTTTGAATCTTACTCATCCAAAACATCTGGGTATCACAACAGTTCCATATGAGCAACAAGGTTTATTTACATTTCTGTTAGTCCTAACTTTAGTCACAAAGGGGTCAACACTTTGTTAATGAATCTTTGGCAGCAGTCTAAGGAGAAGAGCCCTGCTGGATCAGGCCAGTGGCCCAACGAGTTCAGCACCCTGTTCTCACTGTGGCCAACCAGATCCCCATGGGTATATTCCCTGATATGTCTACTGAGCCTAGTGAGCATCTCTGGGACTACTCTCCTTCCCTGTAGTCTTTGAAAAGAGATGTTTTGTCCTTAAATAAACAACAAAGCTTTCTTTTGAGCAATTAAGCTTTTAAAATGGAAATGGTCCATTAAGTTCGCTAGAAGTTAGAAATGATGTGACATATGAATTTTAACTTAAGAAACAGTTCTTGCATTTCTGAAAGAACACAGGCCACTCATTAGATTTCCTTCTGTGTGACAGCATTATCACTAAAGGTGGAATAACTTGTTTTAAATATTAGTACCAAAGAGGTGGACTACTATGCCATAGGAACTAGGTTGCAAAAGATGTGGGTTATGTCAAAGAAGATTTTTGATAGCTGACAGCCCTGAGCTTTAGTGTATTATGTCTGGGTGAATATCATGTTCCTGAGGAATACTAAAACTGTTTTAATCTGTGCAACAGGACAAGGATGATAAAGTCACTTATTATTTATTCTTTTACTAGTGCATTTTCCATAGGAGGGTGTAATGAGATGGGAGGAAAATCAGTTTTAAACAGATGTTGCCAAGATTACAAAGCAGAATTGGTGAAAAGCTATAAGCATTCCACACTATCACTATACTTGTTCTTAAGAAACTAAAAAAAGAACAGAAGGCTATAATTAAATTGAACTTCCTCCCCACCATAAAGATAAGTATACGTAATTATAGTACATTAAATTTGCAGCACAATCTTTGAAATTGATGGCCTCTGTAAGAATGTGCCCAATGTGGGCACATCTATAGCAAGGAATGCACAAAAATTAAGCAGACAATATTTTGAACGTGCATTGAAAATACACATGCCATTTAAAATGCTTCATCTTTCTGTAACTGCCGTGTTCAGCAAATCTTATCTAAATCCGCATTTGCCTCTCATGGATGTGAATTCTTTAGGAAACATCTTTAAGAATATATATAATAGGTGTCATCTCCACAAACGATTTGGAAAAGTGCATACAAATGAAAGCATTGTAGGGTTTAATACAGTAAATTACACATTTCCTCATCAGTTTATTCGCATGCTGCTTTTCCATGGTACATCTTGCACAAAGCAGGTTACAAGATCAGAAGGATTTACTGTGTGATACAATATTTGTTCCCTGGAGTTCCTCAGGTTAGGTTTGTTTTCTCCCTGAACTTTGCTTATTATACTTTCCAAAGGTGTGCTAACTGGTACGTGATATCCTACCATTATAACCTGGGCTGCTGTTATAATCCCTTGCTATACCCATCCAAACCACTTGCTTAAGATTCACCAGCAGGGCAAGATCCACCAGCAGGTATCCAGTTCCTACACAAGCTGCTGCCCTCAAGTGCCAGCTTTTCCAAGGCTTCTGCACACTGTGAGGAAAGAGACCAGTGAATCATTCACCCAAGGCTTTTGGAGAAGAATCCACCTGTCACAGGGGTCTGAGGTTTGCCTGATGAAGCTGAGGAGCAGCAGCAGTGCAGCAAAGCCCTCCAAGTATCACTTCATAGGAAACCTCATTTATGAACTTGTTTCTTTAAAGGGCAATGTGTGCTGTATTGATGTGCAGACAACCTCTTCTGGATACAGTGGTGCCTCGCAAGACGAAATTAATTAGTTCTGCGAGTTTTTTCGTCTTGCGAATTTTTCGTCTTGTGAAGCACGGTTTCAAAAGAAGTTTTGGAAAAGCTTCAAAAGGCTTCAAAAACCTCAAAAAAGGCTACCACACCGCGTGCAACTGCACCTCTTCAAGCAATGCACCCTGGGTATTAACGGTTTTAAGAAAAAGGAAACAAACTTGCAAGACGTTTTCGTCTTGCAAAGCAAGCCCATAGGGAAATTCGTCTTGCGAAGCAACTCAAAAAACCAAAAACCCTTTCGTCTTGCGAGTTTTTCGTCTTGCGAGGCATTCATCTTGCGAGGTACCACTGTAGTTAAAAAAAAAAGCACCTCCCTCTGGCAGCAATAATAGCAGCAGCTGGAAGGAATGGATGGTGAAGGTGCTTCAGATGATAATGAAAACATTTTTTTTTACAACCTCTCCTTTACATAGGTTGTAAAGAGTGCACCAAATACTTGCTTTCAGATGAAGAATGGTGGTAGATTTGGGGATAAGATATGTACAGCATTGTACTTAGCATGAATATAATTTATCAGTATGTTATGCTAATAGGGATCAGTGATGGCCACCAATTTTGATGGCTATAAAGGAGGATTTGACATATCCCTGGAGGATAAGGCTGTCCATCATGCTTACTAACCATAATGGCTATGTTCTACCAAGTGGCTTTGCAACGGGGGGGGGCGGGGCGGGGGGCAGTTCTCCCTGGGCGCCATGTCTGGGGGGTGACAAGAAGGCACCCTGCCGGGGCTCGCGGAGGTGTGAGCAGTCATCGCGCCACTGCAGCCACATGTGGAGGATCCTCTGTTTGCAGCTGCTGCCACGAGCAGAGGATCCCGGCGCCAGCAGCAAACCGCTATGTGCAGCGCATGTGTGGCGTCGCACGCATGCGCTGCACATAACAATGCCACACATGTGCTGTACATAGCGATTTACTGCCGGTGCCGCTTGAGCGCCGTACGGATGGCGGTGGGATCCCTCCATTGCCGCTACAGCCGCATGTAGAGGATCCTCCGTTCGTGGCTGTAGCGGCAATGGCGGGATCCCGGCACAGTCTGTACGGCGCTTGAGTGGTGCCGCCGGCAAACCGCTATGTACAGTGCATGTGCGGCATCGCTACGTACGCCGCATGTGTCATACGTAGCGATGCTGCACATGCGCCCTGCGTAGCGACACCCCGCCCCGGGTGTCACAACGCCTTTGTTCGCCCCTGGTTCTTCCTTGACTGTTGGAGGCAGTATGCATCTGGAAACCAGTAGGAAAGTGCTGTTCAGTTGGCCACTGTGAGAACAGGGTGCTGGACTAGCTCAAGCACTGGCCTGAGCCAGCAGGTCCTTCTTATGCTCTTAGATTAAAGCTGAATATATTCTATGACACAAATAATGAATTATTATAATGGTGGAATAGAGTGGTGCTCATTTGTCTGGCTATTTTACAATATTTAGATACCATTTATTAATTTAACTAGTGAGGATAAAGCGTTTTAGATATTTACAATTTTATTATTTCAATAGTGCTGACAGAATATATTTTGTGACTGTTGGCTTATAGTCAAATATGCATTGAATTGTATACTTAAGAGCTTTCATGATGATTTCCTATGCTTATATTATGTTAAAGTTCTGTCTTCTAACCTCCTCTGGCTCACATTGCCACGGCCCATCTTAATTTACTGTGTATAATCAGTTGTCTATCTTTAGACAACTGCGTCAATTGTCATTGCAAATCCTTTCTAAGAGTACAAAATTATTTTAAGAAGTTCAGAATAAAAGAGGGTGGCAACTTAATTCAGCCATGAGTCTCACATTTTACAATTATGTTTAAAAGAAGGAACATTTGCTAGGTAAGCATCCTCCAGAGGATAAACTTTTTGTAGATACCATCTTCTTTTGAGTTTATTATTTGATGCTGTTAGATAAGCTCTACAGGGAGATTTTTATTGCATACTTTGTTTTCTGTGGAGGTCACACTGACATTAGTGGCAATTTTGTTTGGAAAGAAATCTGAATTATTTTGAGGGATTCTCCCCTATTCAAGCATTCTTATAATTACAGTTGTGGACAGATTCACTCATATTCTAGTTTTACATATATTCTTTTGTTTCTTTTTGCAATACAACTCCCTTCTTGGACTAGTGAACGACAGATTGCACTACTTCAGTTTGAATAATAGATAATCAATATTAGGGTTAGGCATGGAGGAGGCATCAATATATACATGGAATTTGGTGGTCCCAACCTGACCAAGCTTTGCTCTCACTGAACCATCTCTAGAATGGGATGTGGGTGGAGCTGTGGACAAACGCTGGCTCCCTCAGCCTGAAAGCGAGATGAGCACTGTACCCCATAGTTGGCTTTGAC